GACATGTCTGGGTAAATCTTGAGAATACAGTTTGTATTTTTAGTAATATATATATATATATATATATATATATATATATATATATATATATATATATATATTTGTATACACTGCAAACTTTCAGATTTGTATTGTTGTAACTAGACATCCTATTTCAGCCTGGATTACCAACCTGGTCAGCATACTGCTACTGATGACAGGATGGTGCCTTCAAAGACAAGAGTGATCTTCAGACAATACTTGAAAAGCAAACCTGTTCGACGGGGTAAGTTGTTTATTCTACTGGACTCAGAATCAAGCTATGTATGGAACTTCTTTTTAATGAGGTCAAAAGCTCTCAGACCAGTAAGAATGATGTGGTATGGTACAATATGCTTTTTATTTGCACAGGGACAGTGCACAACCATATATTATTACACATTATGTATATAGCCAGGCTCCATATTTGGAAATCTGACTATGAGTATCATAGTAACCACAAGAGCCAATCATGATTGAGATCGTTAAATGTGCCCGCCCTTCTCACCGGAAAGCATGAAGGGGGTTTACTTAGCAAAGAAGTGCACAAGCAGTCAATTAAACCTAACACTAGTGGGAGAGACGTCGGGAAATGAAGGCGTCTTATTTATGTTCATATGTTGATTTAGGGACAAAATTGTTAAATGAAAAATTCAGGATCACGTAGAGCGGGTTAATATGAACATTTAAAACCAAAATGATGAGGCTCACTGCAGCAGGTACAGAGAGAGGGACGACAAGATCCCAATGAAAATCAATTGGAGCCAGGGTCAGAAAGAGCACGTTAACTATGTCCATTTATATATACGGTCTATGGCGTTAGCACAGTAACCCTAGACTTGTGTATATGCAATCATTTTATCGTTTTAGTTTGGAGAGGTCAAACAATTTCACTAAAATGGCCCAAAATAGTAAGGGGTTAACTTGTAAAATGCTAAATACTTAACCCAAGATGACAAAAAGTGTGTTTAAAATGGAAATAAAGCCACAAGAATGCAGAATATTTGGTCTTTATGAAATACATGCTTTCTTACCATGCACATGCATCCTGGTCCCAGGTGACACTGATGTGATCTTTAGAGCAGAGACTGCACTCTAATATAGGGCCTGTTTACACAAGAATGCTTGAGGATAAAAACAATTAAATATTTTATTGGAAGCGCCTTTCGTTTAGACATTGGCAGCATTTTTGGGGCTTAAAAATGCAAAAATCTGAAACCAACCTCCAGAGTGGAAAAGTTGAATATGCTCCGCTGTAGCATTTCCGTCTACACTGCCCAAGACGCGAAACACATACGCATTTACATCACATTCATAGAGTACACAGAAGTAAATGTCCCAACAAATGTACAGAATATGCATAGATTAGATTAGTGAACATAGAAGCGTCTACAATCACCTCTGTCATAGTCAGACGACTATGGAAGAGACCTGGAGAACCAGTCGATAGTGCACACACCATCGACTGGTTGCTCCGTGTTCATGTAGCAACCAGCATTTGTTATTTTAAGCTATTAATTAACCAAATAATTTTATGGCAATAGGCAATAGCCTATTCAACTGATTCAAATTTTTAAAATGTACAACTTTTAGCCTAGTGTGAGAAACACTACAGTCGGACTAGATCCAAACCAGACACCCAAACCAGCGGGAGCAGCTGAGGTTCAGACTGGGCTCAGATGACATGGAGCGGGGAGTGGTGTTAGGAGCCTCGGCCTGAGAAGCACTTTTTGGGAAGAACCTGGAGAACGCGCAGAGGACAGATGCTCAGAACAACATATAACCAACCAAACTGGATTTGGGCTTCTGTCCAGATGCTGCACCACCACAGAACCAGCCACGGTTCTCGAGCACGAAGGACAGGAACAGCCTGCCCGGACCAGTAGTCCACAACGCATTCTCCCTTTCCCCACATGGATCCAGTGTGCAGAGGAAGGCACGAAACTGCTTGGACCCCATCCATTGCACACTGGTCTCGCTCGACCCCTTCTGGAACCAGCACATGGAGGGTGGAGCCTCCGGACCTACCTGACCAACATGCTTAGAGGCGAACGGCACAAGACAAGGACCTGTTGTTACCCGAACTCAGTGCTTCTGCTCCGGGCTGATGTGCAGCAAGTTGTGTCCACAGTTATTGGCTACATGCTGCTGTTTAATGAGTTTATGAGTACACACACCTGTTTTAGCCCTGATTCAGTCCTGGTTCAGTCCTGGTCCCTCATGTCTCAAGTCACTATAGGACAGTAGTGCAGACATCATGAGCCTATGCAGGTTGTTTTCACCATTGCCAGTAGCTCTGGTTTGACATTTAAGTTGGAGCTATTTTATATTTGTTATTTTTTTTAAGTATCTCACATCAGGAGAAGTGGGTGGACAGTGTACCCTGTGTACCATGGCCTCTACACTCCTGCTTTTGCATCATCGTATGCACGCAGATTTCCTTCTGAAAATGCTGGTCTAAACACAAAATAAAAAGTAAAAACGTGACACCACTTTTGCGTCTTTTGTTCAGACTGTCATCATGTAAATGTAGCCATAGTCTGGACTCTGGAGCACAGACTGCACGAGCTTTGACTCTCCTTCAAACTTCAGAACAGTGCCTGATCCAAAGCTAACATTAAATGTGCGGAGTATTCCACAGTAGTATGTGCTGACATCCTTCATTTTCATATTCTGTATGGTCAAAGTGGTTTCATTGGGGGAAGTTTGAACTTAATAATGGTTTACTCTTGTCTTGACACATTTTATGGTGGATGTGATCAGTTGTAGACTCCTGTTGTCTGGTTGAACATTTCGTTGTCACGTCTTTTCCGAGACTGTTTGAAACTTTCACTTTTGGCTCAGACGCATGAGTGTCTTACAAAAACAAATCGATGAAAAGATCTGATCAGTGATCCTCATATTTACACAGAGTCCAGAGCACAGTGATGATGACAATGTTCAAGATCATCATTCTCACAGGCCAGAGGGTTTGTTGAGTTGATGTGGGCAGGGTAAGGGTATATGGGCCCGGTCAAGCAGAAGTAAACAACAAGGCCAAAAATTCACGTTAATGCATCTGACATAAAAATGTATTCAACAGATACATATGTACTCTAGTTTATGAAACTGTTGACCTTTTTTCTGTACCATTTTTGGTTCTAAAGTTCCATACATTTTAAACAGACCATGTATGAAACATGGAACAAAAATTATTTCCCAAATTTCAAAGACCTGCAAATCATGTAAATAAATGGATGTATTTCATCATATCTTGTGTTATTTGATCTTTGAACTGTTGATGAAGGTACATGATTTTTTATTTATTTTTTTTTTTATGTATTTAAAATGATAAAAATTTGCTTGGAAAGACTGACATATTTTATAGAAATAGTTTCCTTTCATTTTGAAGTAATATTAAAGTATTCAGAAAAAAAAAAAAAGATGAGAAATGATGTAAAATCCTGCACCTTCTACTTGTTTGCACAATTTTCCCTCCGTTACTTTTCCCTCCGTTACCATGACCTTTCTAATAAAAAAAATCTCATGATTCAAAAAGTAAGAGGTTTTTCAACCTAATCTTGTACCATATGGTAGAAAACTATATGAAGCAAATATTCAAACCAGTTTGTTAAGGATATGTAAGTGAGAACAGCTAGTTATCACTGTTTGGATTTATTGCCCAAAAAGTGTTGCATATTTCATTCCCTCCATTACCGACATGAGTTTTTAAAAATTTTTGTCAACAACTTGAAAGAATATCACAGGTTTAACTTTGCCCTGTTGGAGTGTAACTCTTTCCTACATTCTGATACTTTACTTATTTCAATAGTCCCTCTAGTTTCTGAATAAGAGACATTTGAATGTCAAAAATGTGCCCCTGTTTCCCTCCGTTACCACTTGACCAGACCCTTATATATGTGAGTGGAGCTTTCTGAGGACAATACAGATTCATACAGTGTCATTTTTTGGGTCTTTTGCACGACTTCACACATTTATAAAGACACCATGCATGTGGTTGAAAGAAAGAGTTTAACTTAACCTTGGTATAAAACTTTGGTTGGAACACTTACAGTGATTTCTAATAGCCTCGTTTTCATAGGCTGGTATGGGGCGGTACAGTGCAGTACGAGTGTTTCCACTGCAGAAAGAGATTCTGTACTGCCCTCTTTTAGGGGTCACACACTTGGCAACATGTAAATAGTGCGAACCAACTGTTATGTAACAGTGGTGCAGCAGTAAATAAGAAGAGATGAAGAAACAGCATACATTAAGAAACTTATATCCACCTGAAAATAAATCCAGTCTCCAGTTTGGGGCCTTAACAATGTCTCAAAGGGTGGCCCCCTCCTACTGATCCAACGGGATTCAACAAGTCTCTCAGCTGACTTAGGGACTCCTCAGGTCCTCTTCTTCTCTGTCTTTACTTTTGACACTGATATGAAAGGGTTACACCTCACTCAAGTGCTGGAAAGTTGCATAATTTTGAGCAGATGTGACAAAAAAAATCGTCAACATAGAGACTTGTAGCTCACATATTCAAACATTTTTGGAAGTTCTTATTCTGTAATGTTAGCGCAAGTAATCCGATAAACGTTGGTAAAAAAAAAAAAAAAAGATCACAAAGTAAAATAATCAAAGGGTTCTGGTGCAGAGACTGAAAGGTTTTTATTTTAAAGTTATTTATGTTTTGATCTGTTTGTATTGCAATGTTAATGTATTTCTTATTCTGTAAAGTACTTTATGTATGAATGTTACTCTACAAATACATTTGCCTTGTCTTTCTCTTGTCCGTCCCTCACACTCACTACTGTCTCAACAGGAAACCACGACACTGTGTCGGAGAGAGAGGAGGAAACTTCTGTGTGGTTAGACCAGGAGTAAAAATAGCCTTCTTTCTGTTTCATCAAGAGAACAAACTTTCTTTTACAGCTTTAGAGAGGAGACAGAGACCAATAATAACAACAACTCACACTATTTTTACAGCTTGAATAGTATTTATTTAATGCAAATGCTGAATTACTACATGCCTATGATCATAATGTGGGTCTTTTCATGAGTTTCAGGGAATCCATCGTGATTTGAAGGATGTGGCAGGGCAATGGTCCTCCCTTGTTACAGCAATAAAACCATATATCTTGAATGAGATAAGGTCCTCACAAATCAGGTAGGAATGATTTGACTGAAATCCATGAAAACAGGCAAAGTCAGCTGAATCGTCGCGCTTAAACGTAGTTACTGACAGCTCTAGGAGATTTGTATTGTTTATTTAGGGCAATGCACATGAATTTTGTTATTTCAGATCATTTATTTTCAGTCAAGCTCCAAAAATACAAAGTGAGACAAGTTTGAAGTGTTAAGTACCATGCTGTTCAAGAGAAATAACATTTTGGTTATTAGTCTTGTTGATTCTTCACTTCAGAATAAACCACTGGCTCTTGTCGGAGCGTGACCGAGGCTGTCCTGGAGGAGGCGCTCAAGGGCACCACGTTCACTCCCGCATAAGTAACCTTCTCTTCAGCCTGCAAAACAACAATACAGGAACTTCTTAAGCAAATATAGTCTTAGTCATGTCGTGAATATGTAGTAAAAATATCACTATGACCTGTTCATCATGAGTAGAGCCACGACAGGAATCTACTTCTGTAATAAAAACAGTGTTACTTGGGCGTGAGAAAGTGTGAAATAGAGTCCTCATGTGTTTGTGACGTGAATGTGGTCAGTACCTGTGTGTTGATTCTTCCTGTAGCTATGAACCAGCCACCCCAGAACAACCACAGTCACAAAGAAAACAACGTTCAGCACAGTCAAGACGATGAAAGTGGGATCAAGCTTGGACAGGTCACGGCCTTCAAACAGAAACAGAATTTAAAAGTGAATTTTAAGGTGTAAATAAAGCATAGAGAGAAGTATACTCTTATTATATAAAGGGAGGTTCAAGGGAGCTGGAGAAGTCACTGTCCCACTGTCCATTTCCAGAGACTATCTTCTTATTTTGACAGCAAGTGATAGTCTCCAGGATGGATGCATTTCAATGATGCAACTTTTTTCCCTTTGTTATTGTAATATAATGTGATATGTGAGATACTGTGTCCAACTCATTTCCCTTGTGGATCATTAAAGTCTATCTAGATCTTAATCTAAATAGACCTTCAATTTACACATCTACATATAAGCTGAAATTTTTTTTTACTACTGAGTAGAATTTTCAAGAAATGTGCTTTTCTGTTGTTTACAATGTATATGTAGTATATATGATTATTGTTTCTCTCTTGGCACAAACTTGAAATAAAAACAAATCAATCAATCAATCGATCGATCAATAAAAGTAAATACAATATAATCTCTGTAGGGTAACTAGCGTGTAAGACTATAAAACCATTATATACAATAAGTGAGTAGGACTGTGGTTATGTAAAGTATAGGATTTGGACAACAATAAACAGCATACAGTGTAGTTTTACTCTGGGAGTGGTTCCCAATTTTATGTTTTTGTCTGCATTAAAATAACAAAATATATATTATAGCAAATCAGCTGATGAAGCAAGATACATATATGGTGGTGTTGTTTGCATATATGACAACCACTTAAACCAGGGGCCATTAAACTAAGGCCCTCTGACCGGCCCCTCTGCCCACACCACTTGAACTGGCCCTATGAGCAATCCTCAAAAGTTGTCATGGCCTTTTTTTTTAAATTATTATTACTTTTTGGCAAATAATAACATGTCTGCATCTTGTTTTTTGTTGATTTTTTTATTAAAAATTATATAAATTATATAAATTATATGACGTATTTACATTTGCTGCTGAATTTTCATCACCTGACAAACTCGAGATCAAACAGTGACAGTCAACGTACGTACAGAGTACTGTAGTGTAGAGTACTGTAGTGTAGAGTACTGTAGTGTAGAGTACTGTAGTGCAGAGTACTGTAGTGTAGAGTACTGTAGTGCAGAGTACTGTAGTGTAGAGTACTGTAGTGCAGAGTACTGTAGTGTAGAGTACTGTAGTGCAGAGTACTGTAGTGCAGAGTACTGTAGTGTAGAGTACTGTAGTGCAGAGTACTGTAGTACAGAGTACTGTAGTGCAGAATACTGTAGTGCAGAGTATTGTAGTACAGAGTAGTGTAGTACAGTTAAGGACAGTAAAATGGCTCGTGTTAAAGTATGAAAAGTTGACAGTGTCAAGTTTTCAAAGAACAGTGGACGACTGATTATGTTTTTGTTGTGTTTGAAGCATGCAGTTCGTCTGATATGTAAAGAAAGTGTGTCGTCAGGGTCACACAATTCTGTTATACGTCCATCTCAACCCCGGTCCCATCACAATCAGGAGCCGTAATGTGGCCCCCAGAGAAAAAAGTTCGGTGACCCCTGACTTAAACTGTGGTTTCTAGCCTTTTTCTCCCAGTGGACCCTGTTTCATGTGTGGATATGCTCTCGACTCTTACATCATTCTCCAACCTGATAAGCTACTGTCTTATAAGAAAAATTTAATAATTTTTCTGCATCTTTACATGCTATCTCTTCATGAAAATTCTCTTTGGGCTGATGACTGATCAAAGACAAGAGACAAGAGACTGGTTATTGGTGAATATTGAAATAAGCAAAGGCCCTAAACAGCTACCCTGAGGTATCCCACACTGCAATTCTTTTAAGATGGAGAAACTACGGAATACAGATTTTTTGTGAAAGAAATCCAGTGAACCACCCAGCAGTGTGCAATGAAACCCTACTAAATATTTTTGTTCATCCACTTTAGTAGCTAAATGACCCTCACAATATGCATGTCGAAATGATGTATAAGTTGTTTTCAATTATTTTACTTTACCAGGAATTGCTTGCTATTCAGGTGCTATGTCAGAGGAGCAAACTGGCTACAACACTGACAAATAAATCTTAATATATCAAAGTCAGTTGGTATGTTTTTCTCAAAAAAAAACTGGCATGAATACAAACCCAGATGTATTTGTGCTTGGAAAAAAACTGAAACTGGTCCATGAAGTGAAGTATCTGGGAGTCACACTGGACCCACAACTATCATTCAAACAACACGTCAAAAGAACAGTGAATAAAATCAAATATAATTTATCAGATTTTCATCAAATAATCTAATGACAAACTCGGCAATTATGTATTTAAATTGTATGATTTTGCCGCATCTAAATGATTGCATTACTAGTTGGACTCTGACAAACAAAACTCCTGTTAAATGAGCTGAAACTATTAAGGTTTTAGACAAAAAGCCCACAAATGATCACAATACTTCACAAATACAAATTCCTAAATTGGGACAACACAATCAAATATGCAGATTTAATTTTGGTATACAAAGTTTTTAATAATCTTGCTCCACCTCCTTTAATGGAGTTTGTTTAAAGAAACTCAAATTTCACAAGAGCAGCTCTAGAGGCGACTGCTCTGCCGTTTAGGAAAAGTGCATTTGGATAACTCTCTTTTGCTTATCGAGCACCTCAAACATGGAAAACAGTGCCTGCTCATATACGAGAACTTTCAACACTGCAGCATTTTCTAAAGCTTTAAAACAGTGGTTGCTCAGTGGCCAAATATGTCACCATGTTTAACCAATTTACATTTTCTTTTATATTGAGGGGTTGTTGTTTTAACTGTTCTTTTGTGTGATTGTTGCTGTACTTTTCTTTGTCCTGTAGATGATTTTACATCAACCTGAGATGTACAAACTGACAAATTACACAACATTGCTACTTCCAGCTTTAGTATAATCATATTAAAAGAAGATGAGAAAGATTAATTGGGTGACATTTGAATCTCATTAAAGTTGCTTGATGAATTGGTTCTTTTTAATTTTTGTTATTTAAAGTAATATTATGTAGCTTTTCTGGTGGGTCCACTGATGGTCTAAGTGCCAAAATAACCAAATAAAAGCCCTAGTTGGCAGGTGCCTTACCATACACATGAATCCTGGTTCCAGTGAATGAGTGTCCATAAGCAGACACCACACAGAGGTAGTTCCCATCTTCTGTAGAAGTGACATTTTCCAGCATCAGGTTATAAACACAATCTGTTTCTCCAGTGTTGTCACAAATGATGTTCTCATTTCCACTGGTCTGAGCAATAATTTCAGTTGTCGGGTCACTTTTAAGCCAAGTGACACTAGTTTGTTCTGAACAGAGGCTGGAGTTGAATGAACAGCTGAGAGTCACAGAGTCTCCTGGCTGCACTCTGATAGAGTCTGGACTCTGGAGCACAGACTGCATGGACTTTGACTCTTTCTCAAGCTCCAGAACAGTGCCAGATCCAAAGAGAACATCCTGTGCATTGATTATTCCACAGTAGTATGTGCCGACATCCTCCTTCGTCATGTGCAGTATGGTCAAAGTGGTTTCGTTCATTAAAGTTTCTGCTGAATACTTTTCTGAAGGTGAATCCTGCTGATACAAGTTATTAGTTGCTGCGACCAGTTGTAGACTTTTATTGTTGCTCTGTTTGTACCACACTCTATTTCTCCAAATACTTTTGGTCAAACATTTTATGACCACAGTTTCTCCGAGCTTTGCAGTTTTAAAACATTGAAGCTGTTGGACTTCACGTGGCTGAGATGCACCTGAAATACAACATAAAAGATATAAAAGTGTATCAAACTATCTGGAACATTCTTGTGTCTTGTACTTACACAGAGTCCAGAGCAGGAGAACGCTGACACAGGTGAAGATCACCGTCATTGTGTTTGATTGCAGGAGTGTTCTCCACGTTCTGAAGAAATGTGGACAGTGGAAGAAATATGAAGTTGAGAATGGAGCGTTGTGATTGGATGGTAGAAATTCACATCTGATTGGCAGATGCAAAGATACATTTTGAAGCAGTGTGGTGGGCTTACTTTCCTGCAATGGAAAAAAAAAACCACTGTTGATTTAAGTTGCCTTTGCTTCAGCCTGTACTTATTGTTTCTCTTTGTTGATTCAGATCCTTGTAAAAGTACCATTAACATCATCATTCTTCATGTAGAATAGCATACAGTGATGAGAGGCCTCTTGACCCATTTTGAAAGTGTTTAGTTAAGCAAAGGTTATTTCCTCCTTTACACTTATAGCAGCACATCCAGAGAACAGGTTTCACTCCAAGTCGGGTATTAAAGATATTAGAAAAGAAATATCTCTGGCATTTTACAGCACCTTAGATTAAAGGCCATGGGAGGAAAATATCTTCTACCACAACAAATATGCCACGCAACGAGTCTCCAACTTGTTGCTCGGAATCAAGCCATAGATTCATATTTTATTAATTCTGCATCTCAAATGGATCAGTCAACTCTGTTTTGATGAAAGCCTCATACCTCTGTGTACAACACTTCTGGCTGGTCAGGAGTAGCTCTCTAATATTCTCATTTTGTAAAAGCTGCTTATATTAGGTTTATGTTTATGTTGTCAGTCACTCTGGACATACTTCATTTGCCTGAAATGTATTTGTCAGGGATTTTATCTCTGTACATCAGTGCTGCTTAAGGTCTGTTAAGTTTTCCAAAACAATACTGATAATAACCACTTAGTTCTGATCATCTAGATTCTCTGACTTTAGCCTACTTAAATACAGCTTCACGTTGATCACGTTGACGTTGATGCACTCTCAAAACCACATTCTCTGTCAAGTCTTTGTAACCAGAGCCTCTCATGTTTGTTACTTTGTGGGTTTTGTCGTGCAACACAATGTGTGTACAAGGTTGATTGACCATGATGCACTGCTGGAGAGAAAGGCGGAAACTTCACTGTGGCTAGACTAGAGGTGTAAAAATAAGATGCCTTTTCTTCATCACTCACATGAGAAGAAGCTTTCTCTTGCTGTAATACCACTGAAGTGTATAATTATTTTAAAGGAGAAATGTATAGAACTCAATGCACGTGAATGTTTAAAGTGCATTTTCAGATTTGTGATATATTCTGTGACTGAGTACTGCTTGGGGATTTAATGGAGAGATTACTCACAGAGCTAGAGGAAGATGGCCACTGTTAAACTCCTGTCCTTCTCTCCTCTATTGGTTGAAAAATTTGGGATTTGAGATTTGTAGGGACATGTTTTTGAGGAATTTGTCATAAGAGTGGCCCATGCTCAACTCTATATTATGCCTCCATGATACAGGAAGTCAACTATTTTCTGTTTCTATTATACTCTATTTTTAAGAAATTTAAGTTAATGTTATGAACTCATCAGTTTCACATTATAGAATCATTCTCTTCAACAGGCCCATGAAAACATTTAAAAATGACTGTGCAGAATTAGCTACAGAGACCAGGAAGAAGTGGGAGGGTGCATTTCAGTTGAAGTCTTCGAACCTGAAAGTAATATACTCAAACTTCTTTTATAATGCAATTTTGCCAAAAAACAAAACCCAAGTACTGTGTATCTGTATTCTTCATTCACAGTGACAGTATCTGGGTCTCGTCTTTCTTTGTTACATTTAAGGCTTGACTGCCCTGAAAATATCTGTTTTCACCTACTCCCTATCTCACCCAAAGCCCTCTACCTACATGTGATGACTCAAAAGAATTCAGACTGTGAGTCATATATGTAGAATTGTGTAGCCATTTAAAAAAAAAATAAATAAATGAAAAGATGATAGATGAAAATTCCCCTGCTTACCATGGTGAGATTTCTTTGAGCCTGACCTATAGTCCTTCTCCATGGCCTCTCTGAACTCCTCCCAGTCCCAACTTTTTGCCTCTGTGACCGCACAGGCTGCAGCAACGCTTGGCTTGCCGGTACCTGTCAGTGGCCTCAGGAGTCCCTCGAGCCAACACGGCTCGATAGTACTCCTTCTTCAGCCTGACGATGGTTGCTCTTCTGTTGCATGTGAAGCACTTTGTGCTGAAAAGTGCTATACTTGACGATGGCATCCCTTTCTTCCGGCGTTCAGCACTGGGTTCAGGGATTGCCACCACGACAGGCAGCAGAGATCTTGTAACCACAGCTACAAACAACAGCATATACAATGGGGGAGGAAAACATTGTCCACTCAAACTCCCAGCCTCCCCCAGAATCTGTGAGAAGCCCTCTGGTGTGTGTCAGGTGTGAGTTGAAGGTGCCACTGACAGAGGGCTCTGCCTGATGATCCCAACAGGCCCTCACTACACGCTTGGGCCTGCCAGGTCTTTCTGGCTTCCTCCTTCGCCAGTGGACCCAACTGACAACCAGGTGACATCAGTTGACAGCTCTGTTCTGTTCATTGTTTTTATGGACAGAATTTCTAGGCTCAGTCATTGGGCTGAGTGGGTCCGGTTTGAGGACAGCAGGATCTCATCTCTGCTGTTTGCAGATGATGTTGTCCAGTTGGATTCCTCAGGCCAAGATCTCCAGCAAGCACTGGGGAAGTTTGCAGCAGAGTGTGAAGTGGCTGGGATGAAGATAAGCTCTTCCAAATCCGAGGCCATGGTTCCTTGACTGGAAAACAGGCATCTTGTCCTCTCCAGGTGGGTGAAGAGTCTCTGCCTCAAGTGGAGGAGTTCAAGTATCTCGGGGTCTTGTTCACGAGCGAGGGGAGGATGGCGATTATGATTGACAGGCAGATCGATGCAGCGTCTGCAGTGATGTGGTCACTGTATCGGACCGTTGTGGTGGTACTCTCGATTCACCAGTCAATTTACATTCCTCCCCTCACCTATGGTCATGAGCTCACGAGATCACGAATACAAGCGGTCGAAATGAGTTTCCTCCGCTGGGTGTCTGGGCGCTCCCTTATAGATAAGGTGAGGAGCTCAGTCACATGGGAGGAGCTTGGAGTAGAGCCTCTGCTCCTCCACATCAAGCTGAGGCTCGGGCACCTGTTCCGGATGCCTCCTGGACACCTCCCTGGAGAGAGCTTCTGTGCATGTCCCACTGGGAGAAGGGTCCGGGGAAGACCCAGGAGACGCTGGAGGGACTATGTATCTTGGCTGGCCTGGGAACACCTCGGGGTCCCCAAGGAAGAGCTGAAGGAAGTGTATGTGGAGGAGGAAGTCTGAGCCCTCCTGCTTATACTGCTGCCCCCACAACCCAGCCCCAGATAAAGCCGAAGAAAATGGGTGGATGGCTGAGATGAGATGGCCCTAAGAAGTGTCAGTTCTACAGTTTGGAACAGGAAGTCTATTATTAAGCTGTTTAAAGTCACTAATAAGATTTGTGATGAACTGAATGTCAACAATAATACATGTATATTAGATTTCAGTGGTTCAGCCAGTTATAAAGTCATCTTGCTTCAGTGGGGCCACGGAGAACTTATTGTGTATCACGTCATAGCCGCAGATTTCATAGAAAATCTGACTCGATCATTTAAACGAATTTGAACCAAATGGCTTAAAGGGTTGGAAAACACAGAAGTGACAAACATGGATTAAACATTTTCACAAGAATTTTAGTTACTGCAAGTTGCTCCATATTAAATGTCCTACATTACACAAAATGAAATCTTGACAAGAGTCCAGTTCTGTCAAGAAAGAGTTTTTTTACGTGCATTTTTTAATTTCTCTTTGCTATTTGGGATTATTGGAACCTAATTAGAATAAAAACTAAATATCAGATTTTGATATTGTGTACTTTTGGAGAAAATTGATGTCCACATATGTGGACTCTTGGTCCGAATCTCCATAAAACACAAGAAAGTCCCCTTTGAGTAATGGAAAGAAAAAGTCTTTATTTTCAGTTTTTCTTTTTCCTGACTGATTCTGCATGTATTAAAAACACATACATGACAATGCAATCATTGCCATCAAATCTCTGTCCAGTTCTGACTGTAGTCTCGTGGGTCCCGTCATGTCTGTCTAGATCAGTTTCGTCCTGATGCTGATTCTCTGTAATGTTTGGGGTCAATGGAGTTGCCTTCCAGCTAATTCCACGTCCTGCACAACCAGATTTAGGATAAAATATATGTATTTTTATAATTATTTATGTATTTATTTATGAATGTATTTATTTATGTATTTATTTAATTATAAAAATATATGTATTGTGTAAATAATACTAAATTAAATTAATGATAATAAATACATAAAATAATACTAAAAGACAAAAATAATAATGATTACCCTGTTTGGACACTCCCTTTTCTTGGTTTGGCTTGGTCCTGGTGTTGGCTCGCCCAAATCTTCTGAGCTATCAGTGTCAATCTTTTGAGTTTGACAGTGACATTTGCAAGTGCGGGATGAACCTGTCGCTGTCTCTGCCCCTGTTTCTGTCCCTGACCAGGAACCTGTCAACAAGTCTTGTTAATTTGCATTTGCTGCTAGTTCTTCATGTAGCTCTGAGGCCCTAACTACATAAAATCTAAATATATACTGGGTCTTGGCTGACTATTATCTGCAACACACAAACGTTTAGGTCTGCTGTGCTGAGTGGGCTCAGGATTGGGGTCCTCATCTTCACTGCTGCTTTGCTCCTGTGATGGTGTTTGGTAATTTTCATCCATGATATGATCATCATTGTCAGACAAGTCCAAATCCAAGTTCTCTCCATCAAGTAACCCAAGTAGCTCTAATGCTCTTTGTAGAGAAAAACGCTCTAGAAATAAAAACATAACCATAACCTTAACCAGATGAAATGTCATTTATGTATGTAGTTTTGCAGTATTTATATTAATGGTACAGTGTACAGTGTTTTAGCTGCATCAGAGTTAGCTGTAAATTAGTAAGTAACATTTTTTTACTACTGTATTAGATTTTCAACATGTTGAAGCCAACTAATCTATGTATATATGTATGTATTTAGTGATTTGAT